GTAAAATCACCTGAAAATAGGAATTGTGTTTTCGTTACCTTAGAATGAGCTGTTTTTATCTACAGAGGGAGAGGGTCCTCTTCTACCGGCATGTTGAACCGTCATGTTTCTACAGTAGCCCACAACAAACAAACCAAAAAAAACAAAGACTGGCTCTAGATAGGGCCTTTTGTGTTTTTCGGGAGTTTTGCTGCCACTATTTTCTCCTACATGCTTGTAAGGCTAAGCTGTATTGAGTTGGTTGCAATCTGCAACTTCACCACTAGATGTCAGTAAATCCTACCCACTGGTCCTTTAAATAAGACGTTTAAGACTTCACTTGGGGGACTTGGCACTTGACCCAGGACTTCATGTCTCACAATACCAGATGATTGGAGTTTGTAACATAGAGATAACTTTTTTTAAACCAAGCACACGTCTTCCTCTTTAGCATTGATAACTAGTAGAAAGTCTTCAGTCTCTATTGAGTGAAATATTTTGAGACTTGTGAGTCTAAGGACTTAATAGCCAAACCATGAGACTTACTTATGACTTGCCAAAACAGTCACACCTCTGAGGCTAAGTACAGCAGGTTAAAGTGATGAATGTTTACAACAGGCAGTCTGCCTTATCATTTTAAAATTCAGGTAGAACCCATCAGATGTCACCATGTTCCCAGATCTCAGCACCTATGTTCTATCAATGTTTTTTTAACCAAACTACAGGTTACAGGTTGTAATAAACCCTTATATTATTATATACCAGGCCTTGATATGTGCACCTAAAGATTAGTTTTGAGGGCTGAATTCACTGTTTCCCCCACCACCAAAATATGTATATTAAGTCAATTCTCCAGTTAGTGCTAGACCAAGTTCCGATCTGGAGTTCTACTGTACGGTGGCTGCCCAGTGCTCCTAAAACTTAGGAAGCGTTAAATGAAGGGAAATAAAGTTTAAGTGGGAATCTTACTAGTTGTGGGTCGATCTCCCCCACTGAGCGGCTCTGCACAGCCTCCAGCAGCTCCTCCAGCTCACTAAACGACAGCTTGGTTAGCTTCAGTTTGTCCAGGGCCAGGTGCTCTCCGTGAAACAGCCTCCTCCAGAGGTTATCCCTGCGGCAGTGACCCATCGCCTGCTCCACGCTGGCCTGGATCTGTCTGCGGGCTGACGCCACCTCATTGTTGAGCAGAGGGAACAGAGGGGATGGGTAGAGCAGCCCCTGAGCCTCTGGTCCCCCCGCCGCCAGAGGGTAAAACTCATTGCCGTCGCTGGGGACAGAGGCAGCCACAGCTTCCGATGACGTTTCTTCCCAGAGGTCCTGCTCGGCACCACGCAACCCTTCTGATCGATCTTGGGGGAGCCTCCCTCCGAGCTCACCGGGATCACGGTGGATCTGAGGAAGCTTCTTGAAGCGACGCATGTCAGCAGTAAGGCGGGGGAAGAGCTCTCTCTGACTGGTCATGATCACATAGAACCGCAACCTACAAATAAAAGGAAATACAGGATACATCATGACATTATCACAGCAATATCTGTCTATATCAATATCTGGGCTACTAGAAATATGGCGGTTCAACATGGTGGACATGGAAGAGAACACATTCATTCTGAGGTACATTTTTCCATGATAATGTGATTATTTTTCAACTGGAATGTCCATAAAAAAGTACTAAGGATAAAGGACAGTATTGCTTCCATGTCTGTTTGGTTTTGTAGTTGTAACAGCATAAGAAATAAAATTTAAAAACTAATTTAAAAGAGAAAATACAAATTTATGCAACTAATGATAGCATAATTTAGCCAATTAATTTGTAAGACCTGTCAAAATTGTATTTGATTATTGCTACAATTCTGATCATTTAATTATAGACTTTTTAAGACCCCTGAAAACCCAAAGATATTATATTTCAAGTGATACAAAACAGAGAAAATCCTCAACTCTGAGAAGCTGAAACTAGTGTTGGACAGAACACTTTTAGACATTTGCAAAATGTCAATTAGCAAATGAATAAATGGTTTAGGCACTTAATAAAACAACTAGAGCTAACACAGTGAAAGCACACCCTACATGTATTGCATGCAAAAACAGTTCACACCATTAAAATATGATGAATTATAATGAAAACTAGTGAAAAATAGCCTCTTCCCAGACTCCCCATAGCATGTGGTGTTCCAGTAGTGCTGTGCTCTGCCCTCACTAATGACTGTTATTATTACTCAGTATTTTATGCTTCATGTCTTCTTTAATCTGTTCTTTCATATCTCTTTACCTCAGCAAATGCCTCTCCCCGTCTGACTGTTCCTCAAATGGAGCGGCATTATGGCACACCACCAGGGACACGTCAAAGTCATCATGGTGGTGTAGGCCCTCCAGATCCTTGTAAGAGCCCGAACTAAAGCAAGAAAGAAGGGAATGCAGAGGTGGTTGACATGAAGCAGCTTATGTAAGGAGAACATATTTATTCTGTGATTCTGAAGCGTTGTTACCTGTTCCATAGAGCCACTAGTGCGTACTCGTGCAGGTCAGGCGTCCCTTTCTTGCTGTCAGTGGTGACCGTAGCCTTAGACATGCGGAGCGGCTTCATGCCGTAGGTGCTGGCATGGTCAGTGATGTAGTTGTAGAGCTGATGAGCTGTTATCATCCCCGTGGAGATGGAAAAGCTCCCTGATGTGCACAAGGATCAGAGACTCTCACAAAGATAATCACAAGATAGCCCAGTTCTTCTTGCCCACCCACAGAGCTTTAACAGTCTTGATGTGAAGATGCAAATATCTATCTTTTATCTACTCTGTGAAAAAGACCTCCTAGTAAGGCTAAAGCAAGAATGATACACACATACAGAATGCAAACAGGAAAACAAATGCAGCAGTTTTAACTCTTTTCTGTGGAACTGAAACAATTTGAAGTTTTTTTAATAGGATTCTCTTTTGGCTAGCATTGAGCAGTAGAGATATGCAGCAGATTTATAGCTAGTTTACCACTCACAACTTTATAAAGTAAAAGTGTATAAAAGTAAAATATAGAAATTGAATTTGTCCACCAACAGCAACCAAAATGACCAGAGGACTAAGTAACATTGTTTGTGGTGTAAATATTACTCCTGATTCTAGATGTTCAGTGCAACTGGAGTTAAAAGGTGACTTGAAATATTAGTTTACACCACCTTGGAAGACGTGGTTGCGACCAAACTTGGGAATGTCTGGGTGATGGGAGATGAAGTCGTCCAGGAAGTCGGTGAGCTGGTAGCCCTGGCGTAGTGTCATGTGGCAGCCGACCAAGTACTGGTGAACTACTCGCAGGTGGAAGTCATAGCTGAAGGAGTGGACGTGCATCAGGTCCCGAACCTTATCACACTCCTCAGTGAAGAGCATTGAGAGCTAAAACAGAGGAAGGGGCACAGCCATTACCAGCACAGAATGACTAGTGGGACAGTCAGAGGGCAAAAGAAGCCACAGGAATACATTTTCATTATAAGGATCACTCTGGAAAAATTAATAGAATCTGCCAGTCACAGCTTAGTCTGAATGGATATCAGATGTGTAATCATCCACTGGTGAACCTGCTTTGCATTTGAAGGGGGAACACCCTGCTGTTCCAGCTGCTCCCAGCTTTGACTGCTTTGTGCTGTAAAGGCCCTGCTGCTCTGTGACTCTCATTGCTCCTCGGTGAGAGCCTTTTGTAAGCAATTTTGATATTAATCAGATTCATAATGCCGTCTTATTTAATTAAATCCAACATCAAAAGGGGGTTGACAAAAGCATTAATTGCAAATGCAAATGGCTGCAATGAGAGGCTACAGTGTGCAGTTAATTACAGCACAATAAAAGTTTACAGGGAGAGCTAAATGTGCCTCCTGTGTTTACTTTCATCTGGACCACTTGCCTGGAACATACAGAAATAGGCTTTATCAAATCAAAGAGGAAAGAAATAACTACACAGCTCTCTTTGGCTAAAGAAAACGCCTGCGTGTCTCTGCCTCAGTGTCTGGAACCTTTCAACACCTTTTCCTGCCTCAACGTTTGTTCAGAAAGTAGCAAAAGGGCAGCAGACATTCACCATCATCACTACCCCCATTGCAGAGATAAGAAAAAATATTCTTTTGGTACAGAGGAATGAAAAGATGAACATTAACTTTTCTCTTCCCGGTGGTGTTCCTGCTGTCTGGCAGACAAATTAAGTGTGACCTCTTAGCCTGCTATCTATGGAGCCAGGAAGCCACTGGGACTACAGACATCTCTTTAGCTCAGAGCTAGTACATTTCCTGTGTGCGTCCTCTTGGCTATCAAGCTAACATTTATTATTTCCTAACCTGTAATCCCAAACGGCTCATGTTCTATCTAATTAAACAAGCCGTGTATCTTCAATAAGAATAAATTGTTAGTTGAGTCGCAGGGCTGCAGCTCGTCTCCTGTCAGCCTTACTCAGTGGTAGTGCAGTTAATGACAGTGGCTACATTGATGGGACAATCTGTAATCAAAGCAAGTTGATTGAAAAAAAAGGCAAGGACTCATGATAGGAGAGCATTGACATTTCACTCTGAGGGTGTGGCCCTGTATTCTCTGTCCTGGAAAAACAGAATTATTTTGAATATGTACTTTATACAAATACAACACTATGTAATTTTGTTTTGTATTGTATTTTACACATACATAGCTAATGCAGTGACCTTATACCCTGACTAATGTGTTGTTCTTAGAACTCTGGTGGTAGGGTTCTAAGTGAGCTGCAACTATCTGACTGAACACCACCAGTGGGTTAGGGTTAGGGTTCTAGGCTACTTAAAAGTGGACGCCCGGATAGCTCACCTGGCTGAGTCCTTGCTGCAGGGGCCGAGGGTTGTAGAAAAACCTTTCTAGGTCAATTCTTTAATATAGTTTAACATTAAAAAAAACTATATATATATATATATATATATATATGTTTGACATGTGATTAGAATGTGAAATATGTTTTTACATAAAATGTGAAATGATACATTTTAAGTATAGAACATTAAGTCTAAAAATACTGCCCACCATATGTACGTGTTTAATTAAGGAATGGAGCTCCCCACACATTGCTACAGTCCTCAGATTCTTTCTTCTTTTAAGCACATCCCATCCCTGACTTTCACTCAGTAGTGGGAGGATGTTGAGTTTGAAAAAGAAGAGGCCCTACAATTGAACCCTGGGGAAGTCCACATCATTTTCATTTGCTCAGATATGTAGTCACTGACAAGTAGGATTTGAACCATTGATGTAATGCTGCCAGAGAACAGTAGAACGGTGCTCTGACACTTTTTTTCTCAAAGTGATGCAATAATTAATTTATATTTTATAAGTGCTTCAAGAACCAATCATCACTAAAGCATATGTAAGACCAAATGTTTTGAACAAGTTTTCATTTGCTCACTACTTAATTCACCTATATCTCAATGCCATACTAATTACAACCTACTACTTCTACATGGTATAGACTAACATTACTTGGCTAGATGTTTTGCTTATTGCTGCGTAATATTATAAACGTGATGAAGCTATTCATTAAGTCAGCTTAACATTTGATCGTGCGGTCAGTTAAAGTTGACTAATGTATGTAAACTTGCCACCATAGGAACCTTCGAAAAATTAACTGTGCACGTGTCACAGGTGCTCTCTGGTACTAAAACAAAAAGCACTACACCTCTGGTTTAAACCCATTCAGTGCCAGGAGAACCAACCCGATTTTACATTCTGTCTACATGATTATCAGCGAGCAGAGCAGCAGCAGTTTCAGGCCTGTGTTATTCAATGATTGACCCTTTAAACCCTTTAAAGAGATACTGGAACTGAGGCCTGGAATGAAATCCTAGCTCCAGTCAAACCCCCAGGTACCAAAGAAGCAAGAAGAAATATAGTAAGATGATCAGAGAAAGGGCAGCGGGCACAACAGTGGTAGCACAGACACTTGAAAAATCACAAGCTGAGACACCCACAACACCCGAACCAGCAAGCACGGAGACGGACAGCCTGTTGAAAATCAAGGAGGAAAAGGAAATCACAGGGGAGCTCGACTGAGGTCTGAACCTCAAAAACAGAGCATTCTTTAATACCTGACCTTTGCCCAAGTAAAATCAGTCTTTAAGATACTACATCCGGCTAACCCTGGTACTTGCTTTACAGTCAAGCTGTATGTTGTAGCAACTGCAGCTCCCACAGGTACGGAAGCACACTTTATTGAACACTGAAACCCATTCATTCCCGAAGAAACAATGACACAGACATGTAGATTTGGAAAGGGAGAGACGAGGGCTGATGGCAGCAAGCAGAGCGGTGGGGAGGGGTGAAGCCTGATTGTAGTGAGACACCCCTCCCTTGAGAATGGCTGGGACATACCGCACAGTCAGATACTGGGGTGGCATCTGGGAACGGCTTGCAACGAGGTTTGGTGAGGAGGCTGCCCTGATGGAGAGATGACATGAGGTGGGACTAGGCAGACACACAGACACACAGACAGGTCTATGGATTGGAAAGGGACTGAATGAGATATCTACTGAAGTAATGAAGGAAGATGGTTTCTCAAAGCCTTTGCGCCATTACTACAAAATCAACTTGGGAGACACAAACATTTTGAACTATTCACACAATTAGAGCTGTGGATCGCCTGTTGTGTTGGATAAATGACTTGACGTGCCCAGAGGCAATGTAGCGAAAATCCAGCTCTGTGTATTACTTATCACTAGTTGGATGAAGTGACTATAAAAGCACTAGTCAGCAGTGTGGGAAAAATATTTACAATATATGTGCAAAAGAACCTACAGCACCACCACACAACACACACACACCACACACACACACACACACACACACCACACACAACACACACACTTTTCTGTTATACATTTAATTAGGTTGCCATGGCAATCCCTATGAATATACTCACTTTATCTGTCACAGCGAGCTCCCAATACTTCGTGCCTGTAGTAAGAGAAAGTAGCCTCATTTATGCCTTATTGTGGGATGAATACTACCAACACTTCCTTTATATGTTATTATTATTATTATTATTATTATTATTATTATTATTATAACTGCATGTTATTGTATAGGCAATGTGCAGTTTGTTGTGCAACAAACAGTATTTTTAAACAATGCTACTAAAGTTAGCCAACGAATCCCAGCCTCATCCCTCTGTGAAGTTTATCGTAAAATAAGATTTAGACACTGGGACGTTGGGAATGCTGAAAAATGTATGAACGCTGTGTGGTTAAGAAGATTGGTTTTGGCCTGTAAGCAGAAAAAAAAGAAAGTGGTTAGATGTAGGATAGAAATGCATTTAAAAAGGGGTCAGATGTGATGGCTGGTCCACAA